GATGCTCTATGAGTTGGTGATTACATGCATATGCTATTATCTCACAAACGGGAAAGGGTTACACAGTTTCTCGAGTTACAACGGTTGTGTTTAGAAGAGCTTGTTACCTCATGGTAGGGAAGGGTCGCAATGGGGAGTAGTTGTTGGAGTTGTGATACATTGTCTTCGAGGTTGGCACAATTTCTAGGATGATGCACTACTTCGTAGAATACTTCGTGACTCCAAGGTATTGGTTGTTACTTCGCACAATGTTGAATGAAGAAATTTGCAGAAAGTCAGTGCATAGTGAATAATGAATCTTTAGGTTTTGCATTGCATGAGAAACAAAGAAAGTAATATGGACAGGAATTTTGGCACAAAGAAATTCAAATCCATAAAAGGAAAGTCCATCTCAAGTAGAGAAAATGTTAGAGGTGAATGTTGGAACTAAGAAAACAAAATGCATTTTAAGGACTGCAAAGCTTCAATGAAAGCTTGTGATAAAGGACAGTAAATAAATCTCACTAGAAATGCTTCCACAAAAAAAAAAAAAAAAAAAAAAAAAAAAGACTCTCTGGTGTTATTCCTAGTCAGCACTGAATCTTGCATAATAGATTCAAGTGTCTCTTTTCACGCATGCCCCAATAAAGATGTATTTAAAAATTACAATCATATTGATCTAGGGAAGTTATTCAAAATATATTTGGGTCGAATCAGTGAATACTATAATTTATTTAATAAATTGCGATCCATTAGTACCTTTGGAGGAAGACTTACCTAAGAAAGCTTGGAGTGATAAGGAGGTAAATCTGTCTCATTTAAAATTATTTAGGTATTTTGTATATGTAAATGCAAGCTGATGTCGGTCCATTAGTAAGTTTGACTCAAAATCTATGAAGTGTGCCTTCATTTGAAATGACTCAAATGAGTTTGGGTACAAGTTCTAGGATTATCAAAATAAAACTCATCAAAAGTAGACATGTTGCATTGAGTGAAATGGAGATGTACGAGGGCATGGTTAAACCTTAGGATAGCCCACAATTATTCTAAAGAGTCCAAATATGTTGAGATAGAATACACTGGTGATCATAAGGGTAGAGAAAGAAGTGCTCAACTAGATGGAGCACAAAAGGTTCCTCAGTCACCTGCTGCTGAAGTCATGAGGTCTAGCAGAGCAATACGATCTGTACACATGTATTCTCCTTCATTACACATACTTATTCCTAATTGATAATGACGAATCATAGTGCTTTGAGGAGTTAACTCAAGTTGAATATTGAAGAGAGCGGGAGCTTGCCATGGATGATGACATGCAGTCATTGGAGTCAAATCAAACTTGGGATTTGATGGTATTACCATACGACAAAAGACCAATGCATAATAAGTTAGTAAATATGTTGAAAGAGTATTCAAATGATAGCAAGCACTACAAGACAATGCTTATTGTGAAGGTGTTCCAATAGAAGTAAGGAGTAAACTACATAGAGATTTTTTTTGAAGTTGTGAAAATGAAAACTGTTCGAGTTATGTTGAGGTTGTTAGTAGAGGAAGATCTACATCTAGAGTAGATTAATGTAAAAATAGATTTCCTAAATGGAGATCTGGAGAAGGAATTATACATGGTGCAACTGCACTATTACAAGCTTCCAGAGAATGATGGTTTGGTCTGCAAGTTGAAGAAGTGTCGAGCTCGAAGATAGTTTTACCAAAGGTTTAACAGGTTCGTGTAAGATAGTGGATACATAAGTGTTAGGTAAACTATTATTGGTTCATTAAAAATTTGAGTAGTTGTTGTATCTTGCTTCTTTTGTATGTTAATGACATGTTAATTGTAGAGACATATATGGAGAAAATCAGAGACTTAAAGAAGCGATTATTCAGTGAGTTTGAGGTGAAAGATTTAGGTCCAACCATAAAAATCCTCGGGATGAGAATCAACAATTATAGGAGTGCGGGTACACTGAAGTTGTCACAGACAAAGTATTTTGAGAGGATTCTACAAATGTTCAACATAAGTAAAGCAAAGTCAGTTTGCATTCCCTTAAATGATCGCTTCAAACTATCCAAAGGGCTATTGTCTAAGCCTGTAGCAGAGCAAGCACAGAAGATGAGAACTATGCATGCCTCAGCAGTTAGAAGTTTGATGTATCTTATGATTTTTACAAAACCATATATTGTATATGCAGTGGAAGTGGTTGGCAAGGACAAAGGCAATCTAGTCAGAAATTATTGGGAGGCAGTGAAGTGGATTCTCAGGTATTTGAGGGAAATAGTCAACAGGGTACTTTACTATAAAATCACAAAGATTAGTCTATAGGGATTTATAGATTCAAATATGGTAGAAGATTTGGATAGTAAAATGACTACAATAAGGTATATCTTCACCTTGGGGAACAAAGCGGTGAGTAGGGTTTCAGACAGTAGAAGATTTTTTCACTTTCAAATACAAACCCCGAATATATTACTATCATTGAGGCTAGAGGAGATGATTTGACTATAGAGCTTCATGACAAAATTGGGCAAGGAGGAGGAAATTGAAAAGCTTGATAGTGATAGTATGAATACAATTCATTTTGCAAAAAATGGTGCTTTTCACGAAAAACACATTTAATTGAGGTATCACTTTGTACGCTCTCTCCTAGGAGATGTACAGTTATTCTTAGAGATGATACATATAGCTCATAATCCTATTGACATGTTTATGAAGGTGGCGAATATTGAGAAACTGGAGTTACGCTTGGCTTCAGTTGGAGTCCATGAAGGTTGAGATTGAGGTTGAGTCACACCACGGTACTTGACTATGAGATGATACATATGGAGGTACATATATAGAAGACAAGAGTTGGGTGCTATCAGTCTCCAAATTGGAGAATGTTGAGGTGTGGAGCCTGATTCAAAGCAGCAGGAAGCAACCAACCAAAACAAGGGTGCCCAAGAGGCATGGCAGAGTGTTGCTTGCACTTGCAGACAGAGGGTGTGGTGCACCTATGTCTCGCACTAATTTCATGCATTTATGCACCTGGTTCCAGAGAGCACAACATTCCCATGCTCAGAAATGGAGCAAGTGCAATAGGCACAATTTTCTCTGTTGATTCTGTTTAAAGTTCATGTTCGATGACTTTCAACATGGTTCTCGTTAATCAGAGAAGTGTTGAGGAGGAGGATTTCGACATGCATTTCTTTTGTGAGATCGAGAGAAAGGGTTTGGAGCAAAGTTTTGTCAGTTCCATTGATTATAGAGAGGAGATCGAGTGAGTATTTTATATATTTTTTTAATTTTTATAGTATAAATTTCTTGGTGTTGTAGCTTCGTAGCTTTTCCAATTCTCGGGTTTTTTCACATTAAATTATGGTGCGTTTTTTTTGGAATTATTTTGTTGTGCTTCTGTTCGAATATTTTATTCTGAATTCCTTGAATCATTGTTATCATATTCCACAGTATGGTTTTGATTTCTATTTGATTGAAGCCCAAGAAGTATAAGATTTCCATCCCAATAAGACTAAATGGGGGATGAGGATGAGGGAGAGGACACCTGCACAAAGAAAAAGGAAGAAAAGTAAGAGAGAGGAGGTATACTAGTCATAGAGAGAAATTTGTTGAAAAAATCTCTAGAATAGTAAGAAGAATAAGAAGATTAATTTGGCAGTCAAGTTAAAAAGATTAATCTCAAGAAGAAACGTTTTTATTATACTTAGAGAGAAATTATAATGATAGAATTCTAATTATCAAAACATTCATATTTTTAAGTGTTATTATTTGTTTCAAATTATTCATAACATGGAGGTCTATGGAAGTTGTAGGAACTCCCTCAAGCATATGCACAAAATAGTGGCATCTTATCTCGATCAAATGTGCATACACTCTTCAGAAGAATTTTATGAGCAACAAGTTGTATAGGAATGACAATGGTAGCTATCAACGCCTTTTACACTTGGTGAACTATTGTGAGAAGGAGAAAAGGAAGGGGTTAGTAGAGCTAGTTGGCATGACTTAAATTAGTTCTAATTTATATCTTTATTATGCTTGAATTATTATATTTTTGGGTTAGCCTAAATTGCCACAATTAAATGACCATTTTAGAATGAATTTGAATTGGTTACATGTAATTCAATTTATAAATTAATTTTCAAAGCCAAAATTTACAATTGGTTCAACTCCATGTGAATGTTTTGATATTCAAAGGTTACATTAAAACTTAATCTTGAACAAAAGAAACTTTTTTGGGATCCTAGCAATTATCTAACATTTTGTGAAAAGTACAAAATATTTAAAAACCATAAATCCCTCAAGCATATTTATCCATTATAATTGGGTTGATTCAAACCCAAATTTAAAATTGAATTAAATTTTGGATAAAAATAATAAGACTCCTTAGTAGTTAGTCAACATTAAGGAAATGCTTGTTAAGAAAACATGGCTTAATTTAATGTCTCAGTCCAATATGGCATCAATCTGTTAAAACCTACTAAAGATATACAAAGATTAGCTAAATTTTTTAGTTGAGCTCACCTAATTGCTCCAATGATCATGACCTTAAGTTGCTAAATCATTTGTCAACTGTCCAGTGATAAATTCTCATAGTTGCAAGGATATACCTTAAAAGGGATAACCAAAATACCAAAAATTCCTATGTATTTACTTATCTAAGACTTTAATATTGATTTGTTAATATTTATAATACTCAAATATTTATATTCTATTAATAATATCACTATTTTTTCATACATAAGTTAAAACATTAGAAATGAAAAAAATTCAAAGTTTATATGTAGGTAGATTTTCTAAGCATATAATAATATAGTGAGGGATTGTCTAAGAAAATGGTCTTTCATATCATTTAACGTACACTATGATTTATATTATTTTCTTTATGTTGTGACACAGTGTGTGCTGAATAAGAAATAAATGATGCGACATGAACTTGAGATTATTAACAGGTCAGTTGTGTTTCACAGTCAAACTCATTTAATTATACCTTTTTTATTTGGTTTAGGATCAACTAACAAAGGCGGCACATGGAAGCCGGTTTGGAATTGTGCTCATCTTTGGAAGCAAGAAAAAAAAAAGAAAGCTTTTTTTTTTCTTTTTCTTGTAAGTCATTAGATTCTAATACTGCTGAAATCCTTAATTCAGTTGACGCCCGCCTTGCAGTTTTTCGCTCTCTTCTTTGGGCGCAGAATCCAACTCTTTTAGCTTTGGCTGTTAGCATAACATCCTCGTGAGTTTCGCGCCATCTTCTCTTCTTCATCTTGCTTCCACTTGGAAGATTTGCAGTCCCATCGCTACTCTCTGTTTCTCTCTCTGGTTTCTGTAGTTAATTAGTTGATTTCCATGAGTTGTATTTTGAGGATTTTTTTCCCAGTTTGTTTGATTATTTTCTGTTCAGGTAGGACTGGAGAAGGATTTGGGGAATGTGTATGCGTTCTAATGATTGATTTTTGCTTTGCAGTTAAGCCAACCGGCCAAAACTGCTTCTTTTCCATTTAGTTTTGTATGTTTTTCTTAGTCTTTTGAATTGTGATTGGTACGTTTGGTGACCTGAAAGCACTTGTCCTGTTTTTGGATCCACGCAGCTCTTGAATTTCTTTTCTTTGCCTGGTCAAAGTAATAAAAAGAAGAAATTTAGCAGTCCATGAAGCCGCGAGTAATTTGTAAGTCATAATTTTCATGTATTGCTCCGTAACAGGCTTGCTTAAAAGCTTAACCCAAATAAATTTAGCGATATGTTCTTGCAGTCTGTGGAGATTTGCATAAAATTTTGAGATTTTTAGTGAGACCTATTTAAGGTAATTTTACTTATCAGATTACGAGTCTCTTTAATCTTTGAAACCAGTAAAATAAATCTAGCAACTATTAATTACTCCTTGCGATTATCTTTGAAAGATAGTTTTTTTTTTTTTTTCCTGTCTTCTGTTCATTCTCTTATCCGCTTGTGATCGATAACAAGTATTAAAAGCCACTGCAGGTTTATCTTGCTTTGAAAGACCTGTTTATCTTGCTTTAAAGACCTGCTTTAAAGACCTGTTCATCTTTTTTTTCTTGACATAGAAACTTTTCGTTAATATTATCTCAAATTACTCTCTTCTAGTGGTATGTTTCCATTAGTTTTGACAAGGTGATTGAAACTTGACAGAGGGAGAGCTTTTTTAACTTTGTCTTGGCTTATTACAGATCTATTTTGGTGATTGAGCTTCTCCCAAGCATAACATATTAGCTTTTCAAATTCTTCAACTCTTTCTCAAGCCATAGCTGATCAAGATGCTTCTTACTGGAAAATTACATAAATATATTCTCAGTTCTGTCACTGTCTTCTTGTATGTGTCAGGTATGCTCCATTTCCTCAATTCTGTATGCTAAGGACAAGTGTAGTAGTTATACACTTTTGTCTTGAAGTTTAGCCAATTAGTGTTTTGCTTACTGCAGGGATATCATATGCTTCAATTCTCAAAGGAAACTTGGAGGTTTTCTTCCCTAGTGAGATTTCAACAATAAGTTTAGCTTCAGTGGGTACTTTCTGTGTGGCAAGACAGAATGCAGACCCTACTGCACTAAAAGCGGGTCTCGATTGGGCTTGTGGTCCGGGTTTAGTAAATTGTGGCCCCATACAGCCGGGCCAACCTTGTTATGTAGCTAACAATATTACGGCCATTGCTTCATATGCGTATGATGCCTATTACCAAGCTAATCAGGCAACAGGAGGAACCTGCTCCTTCAGTAATACAGCCATGCTTACTAACACTGACCCGAGTAAGTTCTTTCTTGCTACTATATTTTTGTACTAATGTGAAGTTATAATTTCAGGGAATCTCTGAATTGGGTTGATTTACAGTTACAGTATGAATCTGAATATGATTTTCTTAAATCTGAATTCTTGAACCTAAATTTATACATAAAAAAAGCCATAATTTGAAGGTTTAAATTGAAATTTAGCATGAGATAGTTTATTTTCATAAAATTTTAATGGAAATTGAATCTATTGTTGAATGTCAAACCGAACAGATCATGTAGTGTATTAGATGAATCGGTTGATCAACCGATGACCTCTAATTATTTATGTATTGAATGTACTTTTTTAAGTCTACAAAGAATAAAATCATGAAATCTTGTCCTGTTTTCAAAGATTTATTAACAAAAGTTTCCTCCAATGAAACTGAAAGTTTAAATTCCATTTATATTAAATTGCACATTCAACCATGATGATTGTTTAGAGTATTCGGATTAGTTTTTCTTAAAGAAAACCTCTGTCCATCTAAACGTCAATTTCAAGTTTTCTTGATTACCTTTTCTTCTAGGAATTAGTTATAGTGCATTGATTAGAAAACATGCCATTACTTTAGTATTTTTATTGCTTGTGTCATATAATATTTTACATAATCTATTAATTACTTGCAAAAAACTTATTTTTTTAATGAAACAACTATTTTCAAAGTAATAATAATACAGAGTATTAACATTTTTGTTCATCTTTCTTGGTTTGCCTTTGCAGGCAGCGGCTCTTGCATTTTCCCTGGAAGGTCAGCAATAAAGTGAACCAAATCATGCTGCATTCTTTCATGTACTTATAACTCTTTTAATGATGTTATATCTTTTGTGTTCATAGTACTGGTAGTGGTGGTGGCAGCACCGGCGGCGGCGGCGGCAGTGGCGGGGGGTCGAACGGCACTGGTGGTTCGGGAACTCCTTCCAGCCCGAGTTTTGCACCTCCCAGCTTCGTGCCTCCGGGCACTTTCGAACCGGCCAACGATGACAATGGTGTTTCAAGGCTACAAATTCTCAAGCTGGTTTATCTTTCAGCACTGGTCTTGCTTGCTTCAGTCATGCTGTAGAAAACATATTCAAGAGGAATATTATACAGAAGAGTGTCTAATTATGTCCTCAAGCCTCTCTCTCTCTCACTCTCTCTTTTTATTTTATTATTATTATTATTTTTTATTGTGAATGTTGTTTCTCTCCTTACTCGCTTATATTTGATCACTGAACGGCAAAACAGATGAAAATGATTGTTTTTTTTTCCCCCGGAAAAGATGTGTGCTAATGGTGTTTCATTCCTTACTAATGAATTCTGATTATGCATACTATTGAAATATTGAGTCTCATAATATAAATCAAATATGGATGAAATGTGATCTATAAAGTTTAATAGTTTTTAAAATTTTTTCCAATGATTTTAGATATATCTATGTATGGAGAAAATATTACATCCGGTTAATCGAACATGCAGACGACGGAATGAACCGAACTCACCATGCATAGACAGCATGCTGTGATCCATGTCATCATCATCCGCACGTAATATTTTCTGCTTGCATTAGTTGCAGCACATGCACAAAACATGATTTTATTTATTTATTTATTTTAATGTATAGAGCATGTTAAAATAAAGTTATAATTAAATGTTGGTTAACCCGATCCTATTGTTTATTAAGAAAATAAAAGTCACTTTTTAGTTTCAACCAGATGCCTTATGTGATTAATATTTATCTTTCTGTTTTGGTGACATTTCAATTTTAAATTTTGGACAAAATCAATTCTTTTTTTAGTTGTATTACAAAATAAAGAAAAAGAAAATTAATTTAAGTGTTTATTTGAGATCACTTTTATCTTTTTTATTTTTACTTTTACTATTATTTGTTTTGTTTATGTTTTGATTTCAAAATTCACATTTCTTTTTAGTTTATTTATTTATTTATTTATTTTATTTATTTTTAAAGACAATAAAAATATGTTAGAAATACATTAAACAAATATTTTTAAAAGAAAAGAAAAAAAAAATAAAATTGATCCAAAACTAACCCAAAATTAAAATAAGTGAATCAAATATTTTGCTAAACCCTAAATTGACACTCTATTTGAACAAGTACAATTCTTCGAGTAATTAAGGAAGCTACTAATTATAGAAAACTCCTAATTTAGTTGTCTGATTTCCGTCCGTCCTTCCTGATTGATAACCGATACCACTCAAATTGTTAACATCATATTTAAAATAATATCATTATCACTCAGTTAGCAGATTCCTGATGACTTTGGAAGCATCCGCAAAGGAGCTGATTGGCCTGAAGGCCTCTGTCCATTGAGTAACAGGGGCGCACTATAAAGTTACTTTAACCAAAAATGGCTAATAATATATATATATATATAATACACACACAAAAGTGATTCAAGTTTAAATTGAAATCTTCAATTTTAAGATTATATTAGCCAGCTTGAACATGACTATATCACCCTTAACTTTCATATATTTTTTAATACCCAAAAATGAGTTGTTGAGCAGCAGGAAATACCAAAGCTAAACGGGCCTCATGAGTTTAATGGATCAAACCCAACGACTGCGCAATTAGGTATCTGGAGCTGATTGTCATGTTGATCATGCTCATTAGCTGCATATTTGGATATGACAAGCTACAAAGCTCCTTATTGCCTAGATGGATACTGCAAGTACCTTGGGAGTACATCAGCATTCCAACAAGTTTCTCAGAAATGGGTTGCCCGACGTCGATCTTCAAACGAGTTATTCCAGCCAAACTCGCATGCATTACCCAAATTTATATTTCATGCTCGTACTAACCAGTTGAATCTTCTCACCAAACTCGCTGACAACTAGCTGAGTACATCACCAAGCTTGAACACTCTCTGGGGCAAAAGATAATTTACATACGCCAGCATACATACCATCCTTTATTAACAATATGACAATTTACACTTGCAGTATGATCAACAATGAGTCTAAGCATCCTCAAAGAACTCTGTTAAATCCCTCATCTTCTTCTTACTCCCTCCCTAAGACCTCTCTCGAATTATATGAGTGCATAGGTTATACGGAATATCACATCCGAAGAAGATTCAACAATTTTAAATTAATCGCAACTAGCAATATATTTAAATATTAATTAAAAAATAAGATGGTCCAAAGAAAATTTAGTCTTCTTTTGGATTTAGAAAGAATTAAATAACTTGAGAAAGCAAATGGTTAAAATGGCACATCTCATGAATATCATTTCCAAATTGTTAATGTTAAACTTTGAGTTCAGACGATTAGGAGGAAGAGATTGACATATTTGATACAAGCAAAAAAAAAATCTATAATTACCCAATGCAGTCCACAATATTCTAGAAGGTTCTGAGAGATTCTGTCAAGGTCTAGATACATCTGGAAGACTTTGAAAAAACTTTAGATGCTTCAGAAATAACCACAGGCCAATTTTCTTCATGCTAAAATGCTAAGTAAGCCTAACTTCTACAAATGCTGGACTAGAATGCTAATAACTAGAGAGAAAATTGAGAAAAACATTGAAAGATAAAAGCTAAAATGTTATTACATTCTATAGACCTTTATAAGATTATGAACCTCTTAAGCTTTCCCTGCTTATGTGGTTCCTTCTCCATGCTTAATTAGATTACAATAAGAGAGGTTTATGTGTAGAGAATTCTAAAGAACTCTTCAAGAATCTTTCCACTACACCTACATATCCAAAAGGTTCAAAAGAGTTCTAAGACACAAATATTTCCAAAGCATTTAAAGTTTTCAAAAATGCTCCAAATGTATGTAGACTTTGGTAGAATATTTTGAAACAATCTAGAATACTTTTAGCACTAAATGTATCTAAAACCTAATGTGTACAGACCAAATCAAAAAATAATAGAAAATTAAAAACATCTAATTATTATTGATTATCTGTGTAGCACAATACAATAAATATTACTTGAGACAACAAAAGGCTAAATCGACTGCATTATAATTAAAAGATAAGACTAGTTTAAAAAGTAAATGATATCAGAATAATACTTCAATCTATAAAATATTTAGCCAATATAGAAGTACCAATTCTAATTTGATGTATTCCTTACATGACTTCCAACACTAGCCTGGCTTAGATAAACACTAGTCTAAGTTTTAAACCCAATTAGATTATAGCACTAAAAAGTCTATTCTCCCAGTCCCCTTTGCTTAGTCAATGCTACAATTAGGACCGTCAAAGATCTGATTTTAAGCCGAGCTGGGGTAGGCACAAAATTGCTTGAAAAAAACTCAATCCAAAATTTTGAGTGCAAAATCGGCTTGAAAAAAACGCAATCCAAAATTTCGCTCGGCTCGTTTATTTCAATCCGAGCCAAAATTCTAATCAATTTTCGAGTGATTAACGATCTTTGAGCTAAATCCGCTAAATTCACCGCCCTAGCATCACTAGAGCTATTAACGATCCGATTTCGAGTCAAGGTGGGGTCGGCTCAAAATTGGCTCGAAAAAAAATTCGATACAAAATTTTGGCTTGTAGCTCGGCTCTTTTTTTTACCAGATCTCGATCTGAGCTAAAATTTGATTCAAATTTCAAACAATTAATGATTTTATACTTATAGTACAGTTTGACCCCACATATAAATATGTTACACTCTTAATATTCAAAATATTCTCCTACACAATTTTAACCCATCACAATTACTGCAGTTTTCTCTTCTGCTCAGGAGATTGCTGATATACAGATTAATGAAGTAGGATACTTTGCTCTGAGATTAGAAGCTGATGCTGCAAAAATATTAGAACAGGGTTACAAGCATTCGCTGTGCTTTCGAAATCATCCAAGAGTAGACATCCAAGAAGGTTGGTTCTTAAGGGTTGTCAATGTAAAAGATGGTTTAAGTTGCGAAATCTAATTAATGTCCTATTAGAAGTTGTAAAGTGTAATTGATGCCAAACGAAAAACAGCGTATGCATGCTCAATCTGAGTTATTTCATTAAGAGTATTTTGACAACTTGAATGTCATCTTTTATTGTCCTAAAGTTTCAAAATAAAAGGAACCATCATTAGATTGATTGTTAGTTAGTAGGATTGTAAATTCCTCTGTAAAAATTCATTGTTATCATAGCAAAATTTGCAACAGCAGCAGCGGCAACAGTACAAAGCCATCAATTGGGCGAGCTTGTATAAAATTGTTGATGTGTTTTCATGTGTTTATGCTATTTATGTTTTATTTGCTCTATGTTTTTTGAATTAAATCTCACCTATTTCCAAATAGAAATAAAATGCCAAGTGTAGCTGAGGTCATAGAAGAAATTGGACATTTAATGTTGCCAATTTCAAAGTCCCTGGCTGAGGTCGTAGAGATAATGCACCAAGAAGACCATGTTCAAAAAGTTCCCAAGACAAAACATATAAACAAACTAACCACATAATTTTATATATATATATATATATAACTTATTAATTATGATAATCCACATATTGAATGGCCAGCAAGCATCAAATATAACATTTTGGCTTAAACATTTCTTTCTCAAGGGGTAATCTATCAACCATGCAGCCTTGGACTATAATTTATTATTATTCAATTTTTGAACTAAAAACATGCAGCAATTTGGAATACCAAAGTGCAATTTTTTACCTGTACAAGAGGTATCAATCAAACCATCTCCTCTTTAGCCATATCTTGAATCAGATTGCATTATTCTTCGATTACAAGTACAAGCAAAGGAGTCAAATTGATCAATCGATGCTTCTTTCGCCATACAAAGAATGTAAATTCATCCCTCATTTAAGCTCCCCTCTTCCTCTTCCAGTTCTCCAACCTTCTCCCCTATAGTGGCAAACTTCAAAAATCCTCTGGACTTACAAAATTCCATGAAAAAGTACAATGCAGAACCAAATAATGTCAAGCCACCACCGATCAGAAACACCTTCCAGCTTGCAAGTACCATCACAAAGATGAGGAATGCTGAAGGAAGAAAGCACATGAAAATGAGTCCCGGCATTTGAAGCGGCACATGAAATGGCCTCTTTAGTCTGGGTTCCTTCCTTCTCAGCCAAAGGAAGGAGGCTATCTCGAGAAGCATGCCGAGGCTATAAAGGAAGTTGGCAGAGGAGATGATGTCTTCCAAGGAAAGGAAGGAGATGCCGAGGGATATGAGGCTTGAGGTGACAATGCCAACCCAGGGGGTGTTGAACCATTTGGATCGAAGGGCAAAGAATTTTGGGAGGAAACCGAGATCGGCCATCCCGAGGAGTTGGAAAGCTGAGCTACTGAGCTGAGCCTCATATAAACCAATGGCCGATAAGACTGCGCCAGCCTCTATCCAGTATTTGAGCCAGCGTCCAACAATCATGCCTGAATATCAAGAAGAGAAACTAATTCAGATATTATTATTATTATCATTATCATTGGAGGTACTCAATCTATTCATTTTGATGTTTTTATTCCTGGATTTGTTTTAGAAAAATGATTTGATTTAGATGTCCCACTAAGACGCAATTAGTGATATTACACCCATTTGAATAAAAATGATCCAAATTAATGACTTTCAAATTTTGGATTTTTACATCTTGATTTTGGATTAAATCAAGAAAGCTAGCAAATGAATTAACTTTCATAATTTGGATTTTTACTTCTTATTAGTTTAATAAAATCCAGAACACTAAACAAGTCAATGACAATTTGTATAGATAAAATTAGAATGAAACAAAAATACTAAAACAAGAAAACCAAGCCTAACATGCCTCTGAGTAATCGCAACTACAGCTTACGCTCTCAAGATTGAAACTAATAAAAGGAAAATTTTGTTCAAGCATGCCTCAAACGAAGCATATATAGAATCCCTAAAGCCCAAGCTAGCAGTTAAGGTTGATCAATTCAATCCAAGTTTAAATCAAAATCCAATGAAATAAGGAATAATCAAGCATTTAAAGTTAAATCTCAGCTCACAAAATTGATAATACAAATCAAGCCATAGATGCGAATTCCAAAAGTCCACAGGATAAAAAATAAAATAAAATAAAATAACTATTTCAGCTTATGCTGGATCCCGGAAATCTTAGGCAGCTGCTATCACTTCATTGGCCATCTTACTTGGAGAAAAATAACAATAATTCAAAATTCCCAAAGATAGCTCTGAGGCTCAACTGCGTAATTATCCAATTTCCACAGGCCAAATATATCAAAACAGTCACAAGCTCCACCACCTCAGCCCACTGACCAAGCAACCCCATATTAATTTGTCATGCATAAAAAAAGTATACTCCAACAAACTATGTTTTTAACCTGAAATCAAATTTGAATTCAACATTTGATGTTAAATAAATTAAGACAAAATATATGCTTCCTACTAATTAAAATTCATTAACCAACACAAATTAGTATATCTCTTCACAGAACAAGATCTCTATGAAATCCAACGTCAATCCTAAAAGCAATCTCTACCTAGAATACCCTCTTGAACAGGTTGTATTGAAAGTATCGAACAGAAGATAAGAAGTGGACACATGCAATCAGTAGAAAACATGTAATTATCATAATTAGAAGTCAATTTTTGTGGATTTTATCATACAAATCATGCATACATTGTGTGAATGATTATGAATGCACTAGGCCTCAATTCTATAAGAAAGCCAACAGCACCAATAGGTTTTTTATGATGATACCCAATAACAACCTCAAATAAAATCTTGCCCATAGATATATGGACAAATGATCTCACACAAACTCAATCATAGAAAATAGCAAATCTCACCAAATGCAAATACTTTTATTAGACAATGCAACAAATCATCTAATTTTGTATTAACCACTTCAATTTGTCTATCAGTTTGCGAGTGAAAAATAATCAAAGAATTATGTTGTATTCTCATTTTTCTCAAAATATACTCATAAAATTTGCAGCTTGATTTAAAAAAAAAAAATTAGATAAGTCATGCAATTTAATCGATTCGTTAACATACATTTAAACAATCCAGACGCATAGACAATTTTATGAAATAGTATGGCTGTCCTTTTATTTTTTTTGGAAAAATGATATATAACCACAAAGAGAGTAGTGTTTTCTAATTAATATGTGATAAAATTAGTACATTTAACTCTTCTAAGGATTGAATTGAGAAAGGTGTATACAATCATTGTTCTAATTCTACCTTAGCAAACCAATGAGTCCTACATTAAAAAACAACATGTGCAACATCTCTCTTCAAATTTGACTAGAAATGTTTATCCTCAGTCATCACAATGATTCTACCTTTATCAAATATCTAGTATCAACTAACATGTAATTCTAAAAATAGAAAATCCCTTAATGATAAATCAAGAATATAAAATATGAGTATCCTTAATCAAGCAATTATTGTTCTAAAGTCAAGTCATTATTTAAATCTGCATATATCTCTTCAATGTTCTTAAAATAAAACATCACTCTATTATGTGATGAAAACTAGTCAAATTAACAGGCATTGTATGAAGAATATAGACTTTATTAAAAAAGATCAACAATTTTATACTCGATTCTAGCATAAAGTCTAAAGGCAAACAAATGAGGCATATATTAAAAAACAATATGTGCTACATTTCTCATCAAATTTGACTAGAAATATCTATCCTCAGTCATCACAATGACTTTACCTTTGTCAAATATCTAGTATCAACTAACATGTAATTCTAAAAGCAGAAAATCACTTAATGATAAATCAAGAATATAAAATATGAGTATACTTAGGGTCTATTTGGGGCAGCTGCAGCTTATCCAGTTTATCCTGATAAGATGCTTATCCTGATAATCTGCTTATCCGGATAATCTGGTGATAAGCAGCTGATCCGGATAATCTGTCTGTCTGTTTGGTTTGTGCTTATTGAGAACAACTGATTCTGAAAAAAAATGATCAAACTGCCCATATTCTGAATAAGCTGGAGCTGTTTGTTTTGTGCTTTTTGGAGACAGCTTATTTGATTTTTTTTTTTTACAAAATTACGAACACTCTCAACGTAATCATAAAAAATAAAATGAGACTATTGAAAAACATATGTGAAAATAAAAAATATTTATATCACTGAAATATTTCATCACATCAGAAATACAGAATTACCCAAACAAATGTGAAAAATACACCATAACGCACTAGTACATACTATAATGAAACCCAACAAAGAAAAAAAAATAGCATGTCAAAATCACAAAGAGAAAAATAATAATATTGACTTTTACATGCATTAGCATATAAGTCCCACTGTGACCGGCTCTGTCACTCCAGAATCCTTAGCAAACCTGTCTGACTGAGATACAGTAGAAACGGAAGCAGTCGAAGCAGATGCGGTTTTCTAAAATGTTGATATCAACGAACTTCGTGTCGGGGTGTCCATCTGGGATATTATAGAAACAGACTCCCTGTCGGCCCACCTGAAGAAATTAGAATTTGCAATCCTATGTCGTTGTGCCCACCGCAGGCACCTGTAAAATTGTCTCCTGAAGCTATGTTTCTGGCGTGATGTGAGTAGCAAGGACGGTAGCCCACACTGACACACCACTTTCTCGGACTTCCCAGAATATCTTAAACTCATCGTTTTGCAGTTATAAAAAATATTATGCCACCCTTCTTTATTAAAGTAGGTGGTAGGTCTATTTCCAAGTTCAATTTCCTTAATACATAAGTTGCAGAAAATGTATGTCACATCCTTGTCCCACATTGCTGATGAAGTCCCTTCTTTGTTTTTATTCATAATGTCACTAATGAAACATATAGATCAAATAATGCAATGACATTGAAAATAAAATAAAGCATCAAGAGCCCAGTCATTTCTTTAAAGTCCCATCTTTGTTTTTTTGCATGGCTTTAAGAAGCTCATATTGCACTCAATGGTTAAAGGGGTCAAATACAAACAATAAATTCTCATCTTGTATGTAAAAGCTCAAAATATAAATTCAAATAGAGATAAAAAAAATCTAGCAAGTGCATCAAAGCTAGCAATCCAAACATCAAAACAATCTCAGGAAAAAATCCACAAATCCAATTTAAACCTAGCACACATTGCGTAAATTAAAATTAAAAATAAAACAATCCAAACAACAACACATTGCGAAAAAAAAAACATTTTCTGTTTTAAAAAAAATCTCAAGAGGCACGGAGATATCTGTTTTTAAAAAAATATGAATCTTCTGTTTTCAAAAAAATAACCATTTTCTTTCCTATGCAAACTAGAGTAGCACAGATAGTTGCATTGCTACAAAAAAGATCCAACAAAAGCGGTAATAATATTGAACAAGTGCTTAACAAAGATGTATCAATTCCGTCATAAACGAAAACGCGAACGGAAGACGGAGCAATAAGAAGTAAACATATAAACTTCCACAGAAAAAAAAAAAAAACCAAAACAAATATTTTTAACAAAAACGCTCGGATGAACAAGCAGCGAAAGGAAAAACATCCAGCGGCATCTTCACGAGAATATACAAATCGAAGAGCGGCAGAGGATCAAGGAGAAAAAATGAGGTTACCACTGAGAACGAGAACAAAAGAGGGAGGATTTCTTTGAACCGAAGACGGAGGAGTTCGCTGAACGAGATACGGAGGAGCGACCAGAATAAGGAGCGAAAAGCTAACACAAGACGGTGGAGACGGAGGATTGCCGAGATTTGCTACGCACGGGATCGAGCCTTTGCGAAATTAAATTAGGGCAGAGGAGGGGCGCGCGAGATCCAGACGATCGAAATTAGGGCAGAGGAGACGGGAGGGGCAACTATTGTCTTTCGACAGTGTTAAACGCGGATCGCGGGGAGGACCCCGCGATTTACGTATAATACAAAAATAAAAACAAAGTTTCCCCAAACGTGTCGTGTTTGCACTGCTCTTTCCAAACAAGCGGTGGCGTTTTGAAAACGCCACCGCTCTAAATAAGTTGTCCCAAACGCAGCCTTAGGCTCTGTTTGGCGCAGCTGTAACTTCCCAGCTTTTCAGCTGCAGTTGTGTTGCCCCAGGAAGCTGCTGCGGGGGAACAGCTGCAGGGAAGCTGGCTGTCTGTTTGGTGCAACTGTGTGAAAACATATTGTTTTCTCCGGCTTTAACTTCGCTCTGCCGCGACGCTGCGAGCCAAACAACTTTTTTTCGCGATTGGGGACCGCAAAGCCGCAAAAAAGCGGCCCCAAACGGACCCTTAATCAATAAATCTTTCTTGAGTAAAGTTAAGTCATTATTTAAATCTGCATATATCTCTTCAAACTTCTTACAATAACATGGCACTCCATTATATGATCAACACCAACCATATTAAAATGCACTGTAGGAAGGATAAAAACTCTATTAAAAAAATCAACAATTTTATTCTCAATTTTAGCATAAAGTCTAAAGGCAAAAAAAAAAAAACCATCAAAATTTAACCCATTTAGTATATTTATGTCCCAACATTTTTTGGGAACTCAAATATTTCAAAACTTGAAAAAAAAAATGCAAAATAAACTATTTAAGTAACTAATTGTGTCTTAATATTGAAAAACTTGCACAGCAACATTAAAATTCCTATCATAATTTGAACATTCAGGTTTAGATTCATTCAAACTTTCATTAGAAAGTTCATTAGGATAAACATACTTAAAATAACCCAATAATTAACTAACATTATTCGACAAAGTCACAACTTCAGATACTACAACATTTAAGTTCATAACTATTAAGAGAAAGATAACACCCACTTGCCTACTTCATGAAATACATATTAACTTAGAGGGAATTTGGGATCACTTTTTTTTTTATTTGTATTTTTATTTTGTTAGTTCAGGTTTTAATTTGAAATAAAACATGTTCAATAAGTTAAAATAAATAATTATTTTATAAAACACTTGAAACATCTGAAAATTTATTTTGAGTGTTTTTAAAAACACATTGATTTGTTTTAAAAATAAAAGACAAAAATGTATATAAAATACACTAAACAAACTTATTTTTAGGAAATAAATTATAAAAAGTCAAAGTGATCCAAAACAAACTCTTAGAATATGCAAATATTTTTTCACTTCATTAAGAGCACTAAATTATAGTGTTGATTTGTATTTACCCTTACTTACAATTTATAAATTTCAAAACTATCTTTCTCCCATTAGTTTTGAAGGCATATGCCTTAGCCTCCCAAAATAAGTAACATCTAAAGCATACAATCATAGTTTAACCAAAATAACAAGAGCAACATCCATGCGCAGCACATCACAAAAAATTATATCATTATACATTGCTAAATGAATTGAAATTACATACATAGAATACAAAACTACATGCACATGCTACTTTATATGATTATGAATGTGATTAAAAAGTCAAATTCAAACGGTCCAAGGCAAGCTTAGATACAAAATTCATTAAATTCACCAATCAATTAAATTGTTGCAAAGCTTCTTCTCAAGTCTAAAATAGATTTGAAAAATTGCAGTTCTATTCTAATTAGATTTAGCCTTATTAAAAGTGATGCAACACAACACTATATGAATTGTTATTTAAAACATCCTCTAAATCACTAATCTCTTCATTATCAAAATCATGAATGTCATCATAAGAATTGATTTTACTATCTTCCTCCCTCTATATGTATATGCAACTTTCTACTAAGCAGTTGCATTTGTATCACACTCTAAAGAATCATACATTTAAGCTGTACTCACAAGACCAAAACTAGAAAGAAAAGTTTTATTTAAGCCAAAGTAAATAATTTGCATACATCAAAACAACACTGTATAGAACTCTCATAACCAATGCCAGTACATTAGTTTGGCATAATATTAGGCCAATTCAAGTTTAACTTAAATGCCAAAATCATAACAAAATAATTCAACATTTAAATTTAAATCCCAGCACAAAAATCTACATGATGTGACTGCATCAACACATGCGCAAATTTCAAAAATCCACCAGAGATCATAAAATACAGCCGAAATAACTAATCTCAAAAACTTCGGGGCACTCAAATGCTCCACAAACTGCCTTATAAGTAAAACCAACAATAATTATTAATACATGGTCGTCATCACCATCTTGAACAAAAAGGAATTGCTTTATGATTCATCATCCTCAATTCATTTCAATTGCATCCTACTCCTAAGTTAACTTTAATTTGCAAGCCTTTTATGTTATCTTTTGCTTATCTCTTTCTTATTATACTGCTTTTACATTATTTTTATTACATCTTTGTGGTTGCATGTAAATAAAAAATATGTTTTAGAAAATGATAATCATGTTTTCACTCATTTCAAGTGTGAAATTTGTCATTAATCAGTTGATTACTCATCTGCAGTAGAAAAAGCAACTTTTGAAAAGTTTAACATATTCACTAGTAAAAAATTAAATAATTTAGCTTTACTTTTTCCTTTTTAAATAGCAAGCCATAAAGTATGCTCGATTAAGTGAGCTTAGAGAAACAAGTTTATCCTCTAATCTCCAATCACTAAGCACTAAGAACTAATCACTAAACACTAACAACCCTTCCACCAAAAATTATAATTTATGCAATGCTTTGCTCCTAAAATTTAGATTAGTAAATTGAACAACGCGGCATAGAATCATAAACGTAGATCAAGATCCCATCAAATCTTAGCCGTTCATTCACTAAATATAGACCTCTCATAATAATTCAAAAGCAATAAATCTCACAAAAAAAAGCAATTTTTACTTAACCGCGTCTTACCCCACCGCCGACTCTACCACAGCCTAAAATGCGCCAAGTGGAGCCGCAACTACAATCAAGTCAACGACAGCCACCCCACCTCGCCGGAACTACACCAAGCAACGGAGCTGAACAAACCTGCAACGTCGGCGTAAAACCCACTGTCCCATTCCGAGTATGCTACATCAAGCGCCCCTGTTCCGGCGAGCAGCGGCATGAGATAAGCCACCGAAGTTAGCAACCCAGCCGCCAGAAGTGCCCTCGGGAATGTCCTCTGCGGCTCATCCACCTCACCAGCCAGCGTGCTCGCATTATCCCAAAAATTCAGATTCCAAAACAGCGTGTTAAAAAACAGCTTCCAATCCTTATCTTTTGCTATCTTCCCCCATCTCCGCGGCCTGAGTTTCGGCAACGCCGCCGCCGCCATGACAAAAAAGGGGAGAAGCGAAACAGCACAGAGTGCCATGGCTGTATACCCAACAACAGAGAGTCCCGTGTAATTGAGAAATGAGAGGAGAACGGTTGTGGCCGTAACCGAGGTGCTCCGGAGGAGATGGAGGGGACGGCGCGAGCTATGTAGTCAGCGCAGAGGGCGGGGTAAGCAGCAGAGTTGATGGCGCCGGAGAGGAATTTCCATGAGCCCATAAGAGAGCCGGCAAAGGATCCGAATGCTCGGTCGGCCCAGAGAACGAAACCACCGTTTCCGGGAAGAGCGGTAGCGAGTTCGGCAGTGATTAGGGCTTCTGGAATGCTCCAAACGAACGGGAAGAGGAGGAATCCGAGGATAGCAAGGAGGGGGCCGCCGCCTTGGACTGTTTGTTCGGAGCCGTAAGGGCCGCCGGAGACTTCGAAGTAAATGAGGAAGACTAGTGGGAGTAAAGCGAGTTTGTTGGAAGCTTTGTGGGGCTTGTTGGTTTCGGTGCTCTGTTTAGGGAGGATTGAATCGTGGAGGTTTTCCTGCATGGCGGTGGCGGAAGCTCTGGAGGTGGGGGAGGATTGGAGCTGGATCTCGTTAGTCATTGGCCAAAGCTGCGATTTTTCAGGTCAGGGCCGGAGCTTCAACGAAAGGGAATGAAGATCGGGGATAACCCGTTGCGTTTCGGCTCAAGGGTGTAAACGAGCACAGCTCCTATTCGGCTCTTTATATTGCTAGCTAAAAAAAATGTGTTCTTTGTTTGCTTAGCAGGCTGAACATAAGCAGATCACGAACGAAAAATTATTTAAATAATTTTAATTAAGTAGTAGTCATAAGATGTTAAATATTAAGGTAAAATTTAAAATATATCTAATATAATAATTTTAATTTTATCTTCTTAATTAATATTTTTAATTGATTATAAATTTTTATAGCCTTCTAGTCAATTAAATTTTTTAAATATTATCTTATTTTTATATATAATTGATTAGTAATATTTCGAGTCAAAACGAGTCGAACACGAACAAATAAATATTTATTTGTGTTGTTCGTGTTCAGCTCGCTTATTTTGCTAAAACCCTCAAAGAGACGAGTTTCTTAACGAGCCGAAGATGAGCTGTTCGCAAACAACGAACCGTTTAGACAGCTCTAGTTGCGGCAGATAACGACAGTGCCTGTTAAGTCAATTTTACAACTTAGCACACTCTTCTTATGTATTTAATGTTTACTTATCCCAAACTTAAATTTTCATATTTATACATGTATAATGTTTAATATTAAAAAGCGATAATATTGTAATTTCTCGTTATGGATGTAAATAGGAAAATTTTGTATGGGAATTGTGCGCTTTTATAAATGAAAAAGGGACATTTACATTCATGACTCACAACTCCAATGCATTTATATATATCTAACATCTAAATTTTAATTTTTCATATTTATCAAAGTTGTGTGTCGGAGTGTCTGTGGCAGTAGAGTAATAAGTTAGCATCTCAGCATAGTATGAGATCTAATATATACACAAATAAAAAAAAAATAATGGGAGGAGACATTACGATTTTTAAATGAAGTCCTAGAAAGTAAAAAATAATAATAATGAGACTTAGACCTGTTTAAATAATATAGTATATAATTGTAAGTATATAGACCAACTATCCTATTGAATTAAGAAAGATAGAATTATAAAGTTGATGCAAAGTTGATGTACAAAGTATTTCAACAACAAAAGTTGTATAAAGCTGTAAAGGTTATAGCCGATTTATATTGAAACGTAGTCTGTCATGAATGTATAGAATGTCGTCATAGAGCTAACTTGTTGTACATGTCGTATTTAAAAATTGGGGTAGTAGTTGGCCGCATAAGTCGTAGCTGGTAGCTTCATGAGCGTATGTTGGCCAGAAAAGACACAACAAAAGGTTGTAATGATAGTGGTTGATCATGTAGATCGTAGTGGTGAGTTGTGATAACGTTTGAAAGCCATGAAGGCTGAATTTGGGAGTTGCAATAATGTTTGTAGGCATAGAGGCTGGAGGGGAGTTCCATGAGTTGTGGAACACATAGGTTGTGGTCGGTCGTGTGGGCTGAAACATAAGCTATGATAATGTTTGTAGGCTACAACGACCAGATTTGGGAGTTGTGTGAGTCGTGAGTTATGTAGAGTGTAATAGTAATCTGCAATAACGTTCATAGACTACAAAGACAAGAGCGGAGAGCTGTGTAAGCTCCAAGATTCGTGTTAACCGCCTTGAGCTTCATGACAAATGACAAAAATTATTGATGATGTATCGATAATACAAATCTTTCCATTTTTAAGAAAGAGAATCGCATCTTTTAAAATATAAGCGGTATAAATTAAAAATTAAAATTTAGATATTAGATATATAAATACATAAAGTTGATGTACAAAGTAGTTCAACAACAAAAGTTGTATAAAACTGTAAAGGTTATAGCCGATTTATATTGAAACAGTAGTCTGTCATGAATGTATAGAATGTCGTCATAGAGCTAACTTGTTGTACATGTCGTATTTAAAAATTGGGGTAGTAGTTGGCCGCATAAGTCGTAGCTGGTAGCTTCATGAGCGTATGTTGGCCAGAAAAGACACAACAAAAGGTTGTAATGATAGTGGTTGATCATGTAGATCGTAGTGGTGAGTTGTGATAACGTTTGAAAGCCATGAAGGCTGAATTTGGGAGTTGCAATAATGTTTGTAGGCATAGAGGCTGGAGGGGAGTTCCATGAGTTGTGGAACACATAGGTTGTGGTCGGTCGTGTGGGCTGAAACATAAGCTATGATAATGTTTGTAGGCTACAACGACCAGATTTGGGAGTTGTGTGAGTCGTGAGTTATGTAGAGTGTAATAGTAATCTGCAATAACGTTCATAGACTACAAAGACAAGAGCGGAGAGCTGTGTAAGCTCCAAGATTCGTGTTAACCGCCTTGAGCTTCATGACAAATGACAAAAATTATTGATGATGTATCGATAATACAAATCTTTCCATTTTTAAGAAAGAGAATCGCATCTTTTAAAATATAAGCGGTATAAATTAAAAATTAAAATTTAGATATTAGATATATAAATACAAAGGCATTGTGTGGTATGTAGGTTTTTCATATGAAAAATGAAATTTACGTCCAGATCACATTATTCTTATGCATTTATATATCTAATATTTTATTTGTATATTTATATTTTCCATGCTTTCAGGTCTTAAATTTATATATGAAAATATATTTTTAAATTTTTAAACATAAATAACTAGATTTTTTTTTGATGTAATGATAAATTTTTGTGTTACATATGTAAATATGAAAATGTTGCATTAGATATGTAAATACATAAAATTTGTATCAGCATAAATATAAAAAATAACTGTGGGTTGATTTAACAAAATAACTTTATGAGGGGGGGGGGGATGAATTTGTTAGCAAGGTGAGCATTCAACCAATTCGAATGAAGTTGTCTTAAAATTGGTCAAATCGATTGCAACCTAAATTCCAAATTTAAAAAGTCGAATCAATCTAAATTATGGTAAAACCGAACTGACCGAACCAAACTTTTATTAGGTTATGAGCTAACCAAAATTTAATTATTTATTAAAATTTAGCTAAGATCAAACATTACGGAGCGCCTAGTGAAATGCATGCAACAACTAAAATTATCTAAACCTAGTTGATTACATGTATATCTTATCATCAAAATACACGCAATAGTTCATTTTGGAACTTCACTATTTTCTTCTATCCACTCGTGTAGGAGTGTTGCATGTGAACATGCTAGCTATAAAAGTGAACAGAATAATTGTATGCATTTTTATTCATACTTATCCCTTCAATTGAGTATTCAAATGGAACCACCATAGCATTATTCCTTTGCCTTTAAAACAGGAGTTCTCACTTAATCTTCTTTGGATGCAGTCATAATTTATGGTTTTCATTATTCTGATTCTGAGTAGTTCATTCCTGACCATTAACAAGTTTCAAGTTGGAGCAACATGCATAAGTACTCGAATTTAGCAGGTTTCCTTGCCATATTGAAACAATGTGGACATATATTTAATTTTTGTGCTAAACCTTAGGGGGGTGTATCGTATTGTCTTTAAGTAAGATTTATCATTAGATTTATTAAATTAGTGGATAGAGTGGATTTAACTGATTTATGATTCTATATCATACTCACCTAAGTCCTCCTTGCTGCCAAATAGTTCCTTAGCACGAGAGGTGGCGATATCAAGGAAGATGAGTTTCACAAATTATAAGACAAATTGATAACATTAGGGGCATGTCTCGTAATAGATTTAGAGCAGGATATAATTTAGAATTTAACCAAAATCATGTCAAACGACCAATTTGGACAAAATAAAGCCGTGAATATGATAAATTTGTATTTGGTAAATTTCATTAATAAATCTCGTATTTATTAAATCGAGTAAACTGTTGAATGTAATAAATTTGGGACTCGCACTTGGTGCGAAAAGGATGATGTGAAGGGTTTCTAGCAGGAGCGGAGTGAATACGTTGCGATCCGGTTGGTGCCTTCTGAGTATGCTTTGAAAAAAATTATTAGTTACGAATAAAATATGTACGGAAGATGCAGATTTTATTGTATTTTTTATTGTATTGATTGTATTGATATGACGAATACAATCAAAATATAATGAAATCCGAATGTATGGACTTCACACCTAATAATCACGGATGCAAGCAAGTCATAAATGATAATGAAGCATATATCTATTTTACAATCCTGATGATCGTTGACCCTGTCGACCTCTGCAGGCGAGTTCGACGAGCATTTTGACTCCTAGAAATGTGATAGCCAACACTTCAATCCGCTACATCAATCCAACGGGCCAATCTAGCAAGTTTGTCTGACATGTGAAATTGATGGATCCAACGAGATATGGAATGGGCCTGATGGCAAGCCGCAAAACATATGATTCCTCAGAAATTCAGTAGCTAGGAATCGGTCCAAGCATGCCCATTTATTTAATTATGGGTTATTTGTATGCAATTTTTTTTTTTTTTTTGAGGGGCCTTTTTTCCAAGTGTTTATAATATATTGTGATATTGTCAATACTAATGGTTAAAGTAATTCCACGTGGTTCATCTTTAATAATAAAGGTGGTTCGATGGTGACGGTTCGACAATGGTGGAGCTAAGGAACCCTCAAGGGCTTAGAGCTCCTTCAAATTTCTCTTCTAGTTCAGGTCTTCCTTTTGAAGGTAGTGAGTCTATTTATAGATTTTACAAGTGACATCCTCTATAAGTACAACAATAATCTAGATCACTTCATTCAATTTCTCATCTTAAATCTCCAGTTGTACTTAAACGGTTTGATCTGGGCTTGTTCGGACTCAGCTCAAACCAATTTTAGCTTCAATACGCTTGCCTTGTCGGGACTATCAGTTTGACTGTAAACATGTAAGAACTGTGGCCTTGAATGATCTTGAATTTAAATCTGAAATATTTATTATTCCAAATCTTTTTAAATGAATAATTTTTTGAGGACCTATCAAAAATAAAATATTCAACGTATTATATATATATATATATCGTTGCAAATGTGTCGGCTTCTTTAATCAACGGTGCATTTTAAGCTTTATCGTTGGCAAAATAGTAGTGGAAACATGTAAAGTTTCATTAAAACAGTCGGAATGCGACGTACGAATATACAGCAGATCGAATTGTAAATCAGGAATTGATAGTGTTTTTTT